TCCCCCGCCGCCCCCACTCCCTCCACAGAACAACTTCTGGCCAAGAACCCTGGTGCTGAGAAGTGGTGGCTTGGGGTCCAGGAATAAAAACTTGTTTGGACATTTCAGAAAATCAGACACATACCAGGGCAGGAGGTGATCCCTCTGCTTGGTTTCCAGGCTCCTTTGGGTCACTGTCCACTTTCCTAGTGCCCCGGAGCCGGGCCAGGGCCGCAGCTCTAACAGGGAAGTCGGGGTAAAAATGCAACTCTGAGCCCGTGGGGAACGCCTGGTAACAGGCCTTGTTGCGTTGTCTAGCCTTCCTATGTTGCCAAAATTGTTTTTCAGGAAGACTATTCCTGAAAGCTCTAAGGCACTTATCTGCCATGTGGGTGCTGGGTGCTCAGTAAACACTGATGGAAAGAACAGGGCCTCTTTGCTTTCCTCGGTTTTGTAACCCACTTACAAGCCATACGTGACCACCGTGGTTAAAGTTTAAAACTACATAAGGACTTTAAAAAGCAGCAGTTTTAGTGCTTGGGGGAATGCTTTGTCTGTAAAGTATCTGGTATCTATTCTTCCTGGGGTATCGTGCCCCAGTTTTATTGAATCGTAGAATTTGGAGTCAAAGAGACTTTAGGGGCCTGGGTCATCTTCTAGAGTGGCAGTTCTCGAAGTACAGTTCCCAGCAGCGGAGGCCTCATCTGGCAGTCTGTTAGAAATGCAGGTTATTGGGCCCCATTCGAAACCAACAGAACCAGGAACCTTCTGGTGGTGCTGGTCTCAATATTGAGAACTCATGATTTAGAACTTAGCAGTAAAAGCATGTAGCTCTAGGATCAAATGGCTTCAGAGTGCAGCCCACCAGCTCTCCGACCTAGTGCGCGTTGCGTTACTTCTTAGCTTCAGCATTCCTATCTGTAAAGTGGGGCGCAGTCATAGCCTTTGAAGGGCTATTGTGAGAGCTAACATAAAAACGCATGACAGGTACTTAACAGGACGTGCGTCGCATGTAGATAGCATCCAGTAAATGGTTTACTGTTGTTTTAACTATCTTCTTAGATCAGGTATTAATTTTTTTAAAACAGCATCATAGACAGATGACTGTCGGGTGATGGGGGAGTTCAAAAGCTCTGGGCCATTCCAGTGAATGACAGCTGTCGCCGTGAATAGTTACAGTATATATGGAGACCTCACGTGCCTTCCTGTGACATCCATTCTCAGCGGGGGCTCTGTACTTCAGGGCCCTTGGGACAAGGCTGTTCCACGTGGCATTTGTTCTGAAGTTTGAACAGCAGTGACCTTGACCCTTCTGAACTTTCTCCTGTTCTATTTCCAGAGATGAACTAAAACAGAGAAGGGACTTGAAACTAATAGGACTTTTTTTTAAAAAAAGAAAGCCAATTGGGCCTTCCTGGTGGCGCAGTGGCTGAGCGCTGGGCTGCGAAGCTGCCCGCAGCCTCTGCAGCGCGGTTCGATGCCCGGCCACCGGGCGAGGGTCCCACATGGCGCGCAGACCTCTCCTGCTGCCCGCTGCTCCCCTCAGCAGTGTGCTTCGTCAGTCTGCCTGTTCTGCTTTCTGCCCTGGCTCTGGTGAATTCTCTCACCCTCCCACGACTCTGACTTTACCCAGTGCTTGTATAAATAAATAAATCTTTTAAAAAATAAATAAATAAAAATAAAAAAAGAAAGCCAAGAGGCCTGTGCGGCTGCTTTGGTAGTGGACCTTGGGGAACTTCTGCTGTGTGGAACTGCCTCTGAGCTGAAGGTTGACGCTTTCTCAGGTGGGCTTGAGGCCATGGAATAGACCTAAGGGTTTCACTCCCGGTTATGGCTCTGCTTTCTGCTGGCAGCGTGAACCCAAGTCGCCCTGGTGTGTTTCTGTGCTGACCTGGGGGTCCTGGCACACACCGCCTCAGAATCCAGCGGCTGCCGGAGAGCCTGCTCCTTGGCTGGCTGCCTGTGCTGTCAGGTGTCCATGTTCTCACCTGCGTCGCTGGCCCTAGCTCACTGGCTGCCTTTGTGGTGCTTGTGATCTGCCCTAAGGTTTGTTATGTTTATTTTTTTTTAATTGATGTCTAATTAGTAGTTGTGATAAATTGTACTGGCCAAGCAAATGATGCATTTCCTAAATGATTCCATGGTGCTGTGTGGGGCAGTAGCCTTGCTATTTTAAAATGGGATTTTGTAAAATAAACATGCGTCCAGATTACAGGAAGTACTGAGTTGATGATTAATAGATGCCATGTTGCTGGCCTTGCACTTTCAAAGCCTTCATCTTTGCGATCCGCCACCTCGGGAGGTTTCAGCAGGCTCAGCTTCTCTGATCGCTCCCAGATAGCTAATTGGCAGTTTGGTCTCTTCGCTGGGGGGGCAGGCACGTGGTTGCCAGGAAGCTGGGGAGAGGATGACTCTGCTAGAAGGCATCCTAGAAGCTGGTGACGGGCTGAGCTGTCAGAACCTTCTGCCATTCAGAAAGGGCCACTCCACGTGAGTTTTGCCACACTTTCTAGAATTTTTAAGATTTTGACATTTGTACCATCATTTTCTTTGTATCAGGGAGGGCTGATCTTCAGGTAAAGAGAAATACATAGAAAATAGTTCCTGAGCCAGCTGACACATACCTGGGGCCTGCCAAAGTATGGATGATTCATCCTCAAGCTTATGGTATGTGTTACCCGAGATGTGAAATAGGTAGGAGGTTTAAACATGTCTGAGAAAAGAAAAGTCACTGAGAAGAGAGTCCATTATAAAATTGCCCACTGGGTTTGGTAAAGCGGCCGTTCCTGACCTCTGACTTTGGGTTGACAGCACTGGGGATGTACCAACTTTTAGCAGAATGCTGAGGGTTTGTATCTTTCTTCTTGGGGTGAGGGGAGACTGTGGTTTAGACCCCAGCCTGGTCCATAAATATCAAGCATCCTCCAGGACATTGTGGAGGCTCTGAACTCAGACCACTCTGCCTCCAGGCCGTGTGACTTAGGGCAAGGACTTCAGCTCCAACCACGAGGATTAGATGCTGTCATCATCCATTTCACAAGTGAGTGAATGGGCGGATGGAGGCATCTCGCCTGGCTCAGTGCAGGCGGGCGTGAGCTCAGCAGGCGACTCCAAAAGGGAGGATGTGGGGAAGGTCGCCACCTGGCTGGTGTGTCCGGGTGCTCATGTTTGCAGCGTGGCCGCACGCCTCACACTAGCACAGCGACAGCTCTGTGGTCGTGGTCGTACTTAGGCACTGCGTGTCGGGTGTCCATGGGTCTGCTCCATTAACCCCCTTTTCTCTGGGGTGAAAGGTCTGTGTGCAATTAACAGCTTTTAAGTCAGGGAATGGATGACTTGGGCTTCATTGTTCTTCAAGTTCACCTGCCACACCAATCTGGGACCCCAGAAACAGTCAGGCTGAAGCTTTTATCTCGTCTGATGGGCGCCCCTCCAGAGACCACAATTATAGCACTAACTGGCATTGAGACCCTGGCCTCGGGGGTCTGCTAATTGACTGAAAGGCCCGGCGCGCTCTCACTGCCTGGTGTCTTCTGGTGTGCAGTGGGGGCTCATGGGCTTCCTCGATGCCCGCGAAACCACAGTCTTTGAAGGAACCTGGGGTTGGTTTGCCCTTGAAATCCCTTCTTGGTTCTACAGTGATTTCATTGTCCCGAGAGCCTTGGTCTTCGGGCTGCAGCAGTGAACATTTTCTTCCCCGAGAGCGGGCCAGGGTAGGCTGGGGTAGGCCGGGGTGAGAATCCACTCCAAGCTGAGTGGTGCTTCCTCACGTGACACTTGATGTTCTTCTGTATTTTTTAACTGAATGTTAATAATTGATTCCTTTCCTTACCTAGCACTGTACACAAGATAAGCTCCTGAAGGATTACACTGTTATATCTAAAAACTTACAAGAGAACAAGAAAGAAAAAATAGAGAATATCTGATCCAGGATTAGGAAAATCTGTTCTAAGCATGAAGAAAATGGTCTTCAAAACCTAACATTTTTGAATTGTGTATTTTAAACATTTCAGTAGACAATTAGAAGATAAAACTGTATATAATACTAACATAATATATACAACTTAATAACATACTCAAAGACCTCTTTCACAAAGAGAGACACACACTGGGCCTCCCTGGTGGCGCAATGGTTGAGCGCTGGGTTGCGAAGCTGCCCGCGGCCTCTGCAGCGCCGGTTCGATCCCCGGCTGCTCCCCGGCCGCCGGAGGAGGGTCCCGCATGGCGCGCAGACCTCTCCTGCCGCCCGCTGCTCCCCTCAGCAGTGTACTTCGGTCCTTCTGCCTGCTCTGCTCCCCGCTCTGGCTCTGGTGAATTCTCTCACCCTCCCACGCTTCTGACTGTACCCAGTGCATGTATAAACAAAAAAACAAACAAATAAATAAATAATAAAACATGCCTCTATTAAATAAATAAAATAAATAAAAAAAAAAAAAAAAAACAAAGAGAGACACACAAACTGCCAAGACTCTTTTAAAGATAATTTTGCTTTATTTCTAACAGTGAAGGCTTGGGAAAACTGAATGATTAATAATAGGACTTTTTAAAATGTTACTGCATACTTAGATGTCTTTAAAATGAATTTATAGCAGGACTGGGGCAAGTTGAAGGGTTGCAAAAATATAAAATCGATTTGTAAAAGAATAGGAATAATTATTGATCAGGACAAGTTTATAGTGTGCTTTGTGAGTGGAAAAGGTGGGTTAAAGCAGTATTATCTCCATTTCTTTAAAAAAATTAAGAATATACATCAAAATGTAGCCAAAAGCTGTCTTTGACTGGTATACTTCTGTTAATTTTTTTACCCACACACAAAAAAGTTTTTTAAAGGAATTTAAATGAATAGAAAATGGAGGACAACTGGATTGAGGCATTTAGAAAGATACAGAGTGCCTAGCCCTGTTTCTCATGGCGGGGGCCTCATGGAAGCTCCCTGGCTCTCCCCTTCTATGCTCGGGTCCCACCCTCCTCATGCTCGTTCTCCTCTTCTGCTCCTGAGATGCCTACTTGTTTGCCCGCAGGACTGAGCACTGAAGGCATCTACCGGGTCAGCGGGAACAAGTCAGAGATGGAGAGTCTGCAGAGACAGTTTGATCAAGGTAAGGCCGCCGGCTGGCCCTGCAGCAAGCTGGAGTCTTGCGAGGCCGTGCCCCTCCCCTCACCGAACTGCCCGTGGGGGCCCTGCCCGCACTCAGCTCCAGTGCCAAGAGTTGCTGGCTTGGTGACTGAGAAAGGCGGGACTTTTGGCCCCACATAGCCTTGTCTCCCTGGTCACACCGCTGCAGAGAAGGAGGGAAAGCAGCCTGCTTCGCACACTCCAACCGCATGGTCAGGCCACCCCGGCTCTAGGCCGGGCAGGATGGTGGTGGGCACGTACTATGAGAGTTGAGTGGAGACAAGGATCCAGTTTTCCCATGGGTGCCAGGTGTCAGGCGTGCCCTCACCCATAACTCCCCTCCTCCCAAAGTCCCTGCAACAGTGAAACACAGTGGAGGGGACATTGGGTGAGAGCTGAGCCTCAGGCCCCAGACTCTCAAAGCTGTACTCTCAAGCATCACACAGGCTCTTGGCAGAGACTCCGATCTCCTGAGCTAGGTCAGCTTTGAGAGGCCTAGAGCCAGACAGCCAATTCTGCTTCACCTTAACCCGGCAGCCAAGCGCGCTCTCTTAGAACTGAGCATACGCGGAGCGACTGAGACGTCCCCGCCAGCAGCGCATGAGCCAAAGCGGTAAAAGTTCTCCAGGGTGCCCGGCCAGGGAGGAAGCTGAGCCGAGGATTAACATGCCCAGCTCCACCCGTGGCCAGGCCTGAGTGATCAAGCTCAAGGCGGGAGCAGGCCCCGCCTCAGCGCCCAGGCGCCCGGTCCCATGGCAGCCCCTGCTCGTCTGCAGACTGGAAGGTTGAGGCCGAGGCGGCTAGAGCCGTGCGCCCGGCATGCAGCCGTGTATATGCGGTGACCTGAGGCACAAGTCACTCCCCAGAGTGGAAGCCACCGATGCCTGCCGGTAGCTGACTCCCACAGACTCTCCATGCATTCAAGCATGTGAATCAGAACTGGCGACGAGGTGGGTGGTGTCGTAGTTTGGGGGCAGCCAGAGGAGAAGGGACGAGGCAAGGACAGAGGCGAGACAGCAGCCAAGACTGACATTTTTATGACCCTCATGAAAAGTAAACTGGCTTCCAGGGAAGCTGCCTCTTCTGTTCCCTAAGCGGGGCCCGGGGAGCAGGGTGTGGACTGTAGCAACCTGTCCAAGCCAGACAAGGAGTCAGAGGGCTCCAGAAACAGGGATGAAGGGGTGCAGCTCCTGTACTCAGAGGACAACTGTGGAAGGAGCCATGGATGTCAGCCTCTCTGTGACCCTCAGAACGTTATTGGCAGCCCCCCACACAGCACTCTCGTCCACACTGACAGTGCTCAGTCCTTGCCCAGCTCCAGCCCAGCCTCGGGCAGCATCTCAGGGTCCCAGGGTGACCCCAACTCCCCAAGTGCCGAGTTTGCCTTCTGCTTCCGCTCAACCTGGGTCTCTGTCCTCACGCTCCTGACTTCTTTTCAGACCACAACCTTGACTTGGCAGAGAAAGACTTCACAGTGAACACTGTGGCTGGCGCCATGAAGAGCTTTTTCTCAGAGCTGCCAGACCCCTTGGTCCCGTACAACATGCAGATTGACCTGGTGGAGGCGCACAGTGAGTACCAGCCCCTGCGTGGCTCTTTGGGCCCCGGCAGCACCCAGACTGTTGGGCAGACTGAGACAGAGTGGGTGCAGCTCCACAGGAGTGGATGCTACCCTCAGGAAGTGGGCCCTTGGGCTCTTGGAGCTGAAGTTTGAAGGGCACAAAGAAGGGGACTTGCCAATTAGACCCCAGCCTTTATAGACTGCAGGTTCCTCTCAAGGCTCTTGCAGGAGAGGGGCAGCTTCCCCAAAAATGCTGAGAGTGAAGAGCCTAGTTTTAGTATCAGGCTTGGGAGGATACCTGCTCTTTTCTTTATTCACAGTAGCATGGCCCAGTGTAACCTTCCTGACCCTTAGCTCATTACTCCCCTATTCCTGGACATGGAGGGGTCGGGAGGGGGCTGTAGCCAGAACAGACCTGTTGGGAGGGATTCCTTTCCTTTCCTCCTCTCACTTGCCCCTTCTTCTCGTCTCTCATCTAAGGAAGTTAACGTGTCCCAGGGCTAGACGGCCTACCCAGCCTCTGGGGAGAGGAGAGGGTAAGGGTCAGCTTCAGCGGCCCTCACTAGATGCTCACTCGGGCTACAGCAGGCTAGCACCTCGGGATTTAATGGTGACCTTTAGTGCTGTCCCTTCTGCCCCCTCCACCCCCACTGTGTGTGCCCGGCCCACCTCGTTTGTCCACCAGTGAGAGCCTTTCCACTGGGCAACCTTGCTGACTCCATGTAGTACTGCAGAGCCTGTCCTCTTGGAACCTGCCACCGCGGGGCACAAGGCAGTGTTTGGAGCTTGCTGGGCCAGTACCCGCAAAAGCAGCTATTGTGGTCCTGCCGGTGAGGAGCGTGTCTGCAGCAGCAGGCTGAAGAGAAGGGAAAAGGCGTGTTCCTTGGACCATTGCACATTGGTCTCATCTTGTCGGTGCCCAGCTCAAAAGAGACTTTCACGCAGGCACGATTTACTCACAGGCTAATAGGGTGGGCCAAAATGGGGGAGTGGTGGAACGTCAGATATCAGCAGTCTTGGGTCACATATTCTTAGTGGCAGTATCCACCTCTGAACTGTGAGGTGCCTTGTCAGAGCCTGAGCGCCGCCGAGGCTGCAGGGCCCCAGTCACTCCCTGTAATCTTCATTTCCACAGCCTGGGCATGCCTGGTTTTGTCTTCTGGTATTAAGAAACTGAAATCATTTACAGCTCCCGCTTGCTGAGCCTTCTGGGGCTCTGGGGCTGTCATGCAGTTGCCTGACCTTTGCCATGTGCCTGAGGAGATAGAGTCAGAGTTTCTCCCAATGAGTTTTAGGGGGTGAGAACTGGTGGTGGCCCATGCTCCCCTCTGCAGCCCAAAGATAGAGAGCCCCTCTGGCATCGCCTCACCAGCTGACTCCAGGCAGCCCAGGGGTGGAATGCACTGGAACTTTCTACTTGGAGCCAGCTCTCTTTCTACCTCAGCTTGTCTCTGGGCAGAAGTTAGGGGAAAGAAGGAGCTGGGGTGGGGTGTCAGTCAGCATTTCAGCATTTGCCTTGACTTGGCGCCATCTAGAGGCTGGTAGGGTCCTGGCACCCTGTAGCGTCCCATTGTTTCTACGGAAACTGCTGACATAGCATCTTTTTGTTTTTGGAGGGTGGGCCGGAGAGGGAGGCTGTATTGATAGGGAATCAGCTGCTTTTCCTACAGCAGCTTCCGTTCACTTCTGCTGAAGAGCGAGCTTCTTGCTGCTACTGCAGCCTGGAAAAGGGTGGAGATTTTCCGCTTTTTCTTCCCATTGTGTATTTCCTGTGCCCCAAGCTCAGCTGGGGCTTCGTGGTCTTGAACCTGGTGGAAGGAATGTATCTCCCTGACATGGCACCTCTTGTGGGCAGAGCACCTGAATGGGGAGAGCAGGACTCTGCCTGTTAGGGGCGAGTTTAACAGGCCAGAGCACTGCCCAGGCAGTGCCAGAGTCAGTGTTAAAGGACATTACAGAACGAAGATTCTCGAGCACCAAAGTAGCTATTCCCAGCCAGTCTGGGTTTCCATGGCAACATCACCTTGCCCAGCTTTTTCCACTAATACCTAAGAGCTGTCATGTCTGCGTGTGTTCAGGGCTTGGAAATGGTTTCAGATCCCATCACAACAAATATCAAGGTCACTCTCAGATTGTTTTGCTAGCTCCAGAATTTCCTAATATTTAACATTGCTGAAACTGTCCACAAAATAGGTCTTTGTCATTGTTCAACAGTTGTTCATGCCATGTTCAAGGTGATGTGTGGGAGATTCAAGTGGGAAGTACCCTCCTGGGGGGCACCTTCGGCCCAGGTGTCTGTGCTCAAACCCCATCCCTGCCCTCCCTGGGTGCACAGTTAACTGCCAGACAGAATGAAGCAGCTGAGCAGGAAGTGCAGTGAGGAAGTGCACCCAGAAGACAGGGTGAGGTACAACCCAGGTAGAACCAAGATTTCAGGAGGCAGAGGAATTTCCTATTCCATCTTGTCCTCACACCTCACTCTAGCCTTTGAGAGAAGTATTATCAAGTGTTCATGCCCACATCTTCTCCTCTTCTTCCCATAGCATCCCCCCTATCTAGAACCCTACAGTCCAGCCCACAGGCACTATCCTAGAACTGCGCTGCCTCAGTCCACAGGTTCTGAGATGAAGGGCCTTTGACTCCAGGCCTCATCAGACCTGTCACTGCTTATAAAGTTCGCTGTGCACTTTTTAGACTATGGTAAAGACCAGCAGCTTTCATCAGCTTGTCAAAGGGACATATGACGCGAACATTTTAGGCTCTCAGCTTATCGTCTTACCCTTTCCTTTGGGCGGATGATAGACTAGAAATGATAAACGAGGCCTCCCTGGTGGCCTGGGGGTTAAGTTTCAGTGCTATCACCGCTATGGCCTGAGTTTGATCCCCAGCCAAGGAGCTGACCCACTTGGCACAGCAGACCTCTCCTGTCTCCACGCTGCTCCCCTCACCAGTGGATTTCAGTTGATCCACCTATTCTGCTCCCCACTCTGTCTCTGGTGAATTCTCTCAAACCCCCAACCCCCTCACCTCTGGCCTGCACCCCAGCTCTTGTATGCATAAATAAATCTTTAAAAATAAATAAATGATAGAAGACTGATGTGCCCAGGCTACCAGGCAGCCAGATCTGGCTGATCTTCTGGTTCTGGGTCACGTGCTGCCTGAGACGCTGCTGGTTCTGGGTCCTGCTTCCTCTTGTCTCTCCAGACAGCTGCATAAGGGACACTGGCTTTCCTCACTCCCTGCATACGGCAGCCAGCTCGCGTGCAGCCTCAGCCCTCCCTCGGTCTGCAGTGCCATGCCTCCCTCCAGGAGAAAGACTCCAGAATCTTCCATTCTGGCCTTGGAGTCTTTTACCAGCTGAGCAAGAGGTGGCATTGCACACCCACCTGCCCATGTCCCTGGGGGGTGACCTGATCCCAGGAACTTCCTTTTCTGGTGGAGCAGGGGAGCGAGGTGTTTGAAGGCCGTAAGGGACTTCCACGGGCACTGAGACCCACACCTGGTGCCTGGCGCCAGAGATGGCAGCAGAGTATCCCGGCCAGGGCAGAAACAGTGTTTGGGCACAGTATTCTTACTTCTTTGAGCCTTGGCTTATCTGCTTTCTGTGATCAACCAGCAGCAGGCTGACCTCTGAGGTCCCCATGGTCTTCAACTGCCCCTCCTCCCCAGGGTCCTTGGGTCTCATTGTCCTCACTGGACTGGTGTATATGTCCAGACTTCATCTTCATTCCACTGGCCTGAAAATGCCTCTCCTAAACCTGCTTTGCCTTCTCAGGTGACTTGACTTCTCATTTCAAAGATATTGGTATATTCACTAGCAAGACCCGGGCCCTAGAGGGCCTCCCAGAAGAGGGCTCTGGGTGTCAGAGATCGTGAAGTTGGAGAGGGCTCTGCGGCGTGAGTGGCGGTGGCCCAGAGCCGGTGCATTGAGCTGCCTCTCACCAGCACGTGGAGTAAACCCAGCCCACTTTCCAGTTGGGTGTGCAGTGGGGCTGCCCACAGAGTGACAGAAAGGGTCCCCCAACATTCCAGCCCTGCCCAGAGCCCTGACTACAAGCAGAGGTTGCCAGTCTGAGCTGCAGGGGCTCCTCCCCACTTGAGGGGCTCGCTTGCTGGAGGGAGAGGCCAGCGACATTGAGTTAGAAAGATAGCAGGACTGGCTTGTGCCCCATGGCCTGAGGCCGGGCTATGCACCCGCAGCTTCCATTTGCTCTGGTGATGGCTGAGCTGGGACCACGCAGCTGGTGGGAGAGGATTCAAGGCACTGGGCCACCAGCGTCCTTGGGGCGCCTTGCTGAGACCGTCCCTGCCCGTCCCCTCCCCCCAAGGAAGAGAGGAAGGAAACCACCCGCTTTGCTGCTCAGCAGTGAGGAAGGAGCCAGGGCATCCCGGGCAGATGGAGGCCTGGCAGCCCCATTTCCTGCCTCCAGCCCAGGGGAAGGTGAGACGGGCTCCTCTGTGAAGGTGCTACCCTGGGAGCAGCCGACCCATGCCAAGGGCCACACATGGGCTTCTCGTGGTTTCCAGTAGAGCCATTTGGACTCCCCAGAGCATGTGCTTTTACTAAGTATACTTTTTTTTTTTAATGTAGAAATTTCCGGCTCTTTTTTTTTTTTTTTTTTTTTAAGATTTATTTAAGGATACAAGAGCTGGAGTACAGGCCAGAGGTGCGGGGGCGGGGGGCGTGAGAGGAGTTACCGGAGACAGAGTGGGAAGCAGAACAGACAGACTGACGGAAATACACTGCTGAGGGGTGTGGCGGGGAGACGGGAGAGGTCTGCTACACCATGTGGGTCACCTCCCTGGCTGGGGCTCAAACTCGTGCTGCAATGGCTGTGAATAGCTTCATAGTGCTGAGACTTAACCCCTTGTGCCACCAGGGAGGCCCTAAGTAAACTTTTTATTGAAGTTTAACAGTAAGGGGTTTTGAAACTCAAGGCTAGAGAGAAAACGTGCCCTAGAGTTAGAACCCTTCATAAATTTTGTGTCAGAGATACAAAACTGGTAAGGCCCCACAGGATTAGTTCTCGTGATTATTTAGTCATTTTCTAATAGACTAGTTGTTGCCAAAATACTGTTTTTATCAAGTCACACAAGTGAAAAAACGGACCCAAGTTTACATCTGTCAGCCTGCCCGGGGGCCTCGATGGCTCACACTGCATGTCGGAGCAGCTCCCTCGTGCCAGTTCCCTCCAGTCTGACCTGTGCCGGGCTCTTACATTGTGTCTGGTTGTGAGCGTGCAGTTCACATCAGCTCCTCCAGTGCTATCACCGAGCAAGGGAGCCCACCACCGGCCCTTCGATGAGCAGGAGCCGGGTGCTTACGGTCACGCCCCTGAGGCCTGGAGCTGGCTGGTAACAGAAACCGGCTCATGCCAGTTCTCCTCCCCTGGCTGTCCACGTTCTCTGCCCATCCACATCCGCTCAGACCAACCTCCTCACGATGCTTCCATAGGATGGGAGGCCCCAGGCTTCCGTGGGTTTAGGGCTTCCGTGAACCTCTGTGAATGGTGGACAGACTTGTACCTGTCTGATGTGGAGAGAAGGTCTAGAACTCTCATTCATCCCAAAGGATGCCCCCCAGCCAGTCAGGAACCATCATATTTCCTAATGTGCCCCCCATCCGGGGCCCTCCGTGGTCAGTCTGAGTGCCATCTCTCCATGCTCATCGCCAGCGTGGGCCAGGCCCGTTCCGCCGCCTCCGCCAGTCAGACAGATGTGCTTCCCAGACCTGCAGCCCCTCTGGGTCTCAGGTTGCTCACCCCTGCCGTGGGGCGATGACAGCCCCTGCCTCACAGGCTGGAGAGTAGCACCGAACTGAGCTTGACTCCACATGCCTTTCGGGTTAGCCTGGCTTCACGCTCCCACTGCATCGGGACTCCATGATGGGCAGAGTGTGGGTGGCAGTGGGGGAAGGGGTGCCTAGTCCCTTTGATGCACTGTTTCATCAGCTCCTCCAGTGCGGAAATGTGTGATGGTCCCTGTGACTCTAGGAAAAGGACAGAGCCCTGGTCTTGTGATAGGCTCCCTCCCTGGGCCGTCTGGTGGCGTGGGTGGGTGGCAGTGCTCTCCCGTCTGCTCAGGAAGCAAGCAGGCTTTCTGCCTTGGGAGGCCTGTCTCCAGGGGCAACCAGATGAGCAAAGAATGGTGTTCTTTATGGTGGAGTCTCTCCGGATCGTTGAGACTCGAGGGGTGGGGGCCAGGAAGCCCCGGGCACACAGTGCTCCCCTTCAGCAGTACTCCAGACCCAGAGGTGGGTCTGGCCCTTGCCCGTGCCACTGCCAGGTGTGCTGGCCTTCGGCACAGGCTATGAGGGAGAGCAGGAGTTGCCTTGTCTATAAGCCAGGGCTTGCCCTCAGAGAACGTCCAAGAATACCCACCTACCACCTTGGCCATAAAAACCAAAGTTTGGTTTTCTCCTTTCTCAGAAATCAATGACCGGGAACAGAAGTTACATGCCCTTAAGGAGGTACTCAAGAAATTTCCAAAGGAGAACCACGAAGTCTTCAAATACGTCATCTCCCACCTGAACAAGTAGGTCACAGGGCTGGTATCTGGGCTTCCCTCCGATAGTCGCCAGCCAGGGCTGGTGCTGGCCCAGCCTGCGGCCGGTCAGTGGTCCCCTCCTCGCTGGGGGCACATCTGGCTCACAAGGGCATTCTCCACACTGGACACCTTGGCCTTCTGTCCTGGTCTGGCCAGAATAGATACATGTGGTCCCCAGCACGCCCAGGGTCCTTTCCAGATATATCTGTGCAGACCTATTCCACTCTTGGCAAAGGGTGTTTGTGGAGCTCCGGCTGCAGACTGACTCCCACTCTACACAGCCAGAGCATCGTCACCCCCTTGGGCAATATGGGTAGTCCTTGGGCTCTGAGGCAGTCCATCCACTGGCAGGTGCAGGGCCAGGGGTGGCCTCCTGTGAGCCTTGGCCTCAGGGCCACCCTCGGGAGCTGGCTGGGTGGAGACAGTGGAGCAGACGTCAGGACACGGGAGCGCAGGCTGAGGGAGGGTAAGCAGGAGAGTTATAAGGGTGACTGGCTGTGAGCACATGTGGGGTGGGGCGGGCCCTGCTTGTGGAGACCCTGCCCTGGGCCCACCACCCCTCCAAGCACTAACCCTGAGTTTCTGTTGCCTACAGAGTCAGCCACAACAACAAGGTGAATCTCATGACCAGTGAGAACCTCTCCATCTGCTTCTGGCCCACCTTGATGCGCCCCGATTTCAGCACCATGGACGCCCTCACGGCCACTCGCACCTACCAGACAATCATTGAACTCTTCATCCAGCAGTGCCCCTTCTTCTTCTACAATCGGCCCATCAGTGAGCCTCCCGGTGCCACGCCCAGCTCCCCCTCTACCGTGGCCTCCTCTGTCCCCTTCCTCACCTCCACACCCATCACCAGTCAGCCGTCACCACCCCAGTCACCTCCACCCACCCCCCAGTCCCCAATGCAGCCACTGCTCCCCTCCCAGCTTCAAGCTGAGCACACGCTGTGAGCTGCCACAGCCTGGGCAAAGGAGACTCTTCAGAGGGTGGCATTTGGCCTTGAACAAAACCACGTCCAATGGGGCAGGTGTGGAGAGGGTTTCTGCTCCCCTGCGACCTTCTCATGACCTCAGCGGTAGCACCAGCCAGCAATCAACCATTGGCTGGGGGTCAGGCGCCCCGAACCCTACACTGCAGGCCTGGAGTGGGCAGCCCAAGCGTCACAGGCCCCCTGCCCTTTAACTTGGACCCTTTTGAGAACGGACTAGCCAGGCGGGAGCCCTGGCAGCCTCCACATGCTCACTGCTCCCAGGACCTGCTCCCGGCCTGCCCGCCTGCTCACACCACCAGCCTCAGGCGCTTGCCCGGACCCAGACAGAGCCCCAGCCTGGGCCAAGGAGGAGGTTCCGAGTTTCAGACCACCCGGGCAGCCTGGCAGCCCCTGAAGAAAACACTTCCCATCCCCGCCTGTCTCTTTCCACCTTCCATATCTGCACCCCCACCCCCATGTGGGGCGTACAGCCAGTCTAGCAACTTCCTTGGGAACACGTACAGACCACAGCTCTCCACCCTACGTACAGCGCTGCGTGACTGCCCGCGGGTGAGGGCAGCGGCAGGTGGCGGCATGCCTGGACCAAGGGAGGGAGCCCCCCGCACCCCCTTCACAGGCCTCCGGACACATTCCCCTTCGACAAAGGAACACTGGAAGAAAAATGGACACCCCTCCAATTTAAAAAAGAAAAGGAAAAAACTACAAGAAGAAAACTACAAACCTCAAGATTTGGCTCTTCCGGTCTCTCTGAGAGGCAAACTGGCGGAAAGTGCCCTTGTCTTTGTGACAGGAAAACAAGGGTGCCCGGGGTGAGGGGGTGTCCCACCTTCTCCCATCACCAGACCCCCTCTCCCCAAGAAGACAGTTTGAACCTTTGGTGGGAAGAGCTGGGGAGACCAACAGGCCCGCCCGGACCCTGGTCTGCCTTGTGGGACACTACAGGCAATGGAAACACTACTGTGCGCAGAGGGTGCCCCGTGACCTGGGGGTCGCGGAGCGTTTGGTGTTGAAGTGGAATCAGTTTCACCCTGGGCCGGAGGAGGCCACCAGCTTGTCGGGGCGGGGAACCCTGAGGTGGGTGGGTCCGCTGTGCCCAGCCAGGCCAGAGGAGCTAAAGGCACCAAGGCCACCGGAGGACGCGGGGCCACAGTGCCTGCCACAGCCCAGCCTCCGTGCCTCCCACCCCCTCCCAGGACATGGCTTTCCCACTGGCCCCTGTGAGAACCTTCCTGGTGTCCCACCTCTGCCCTTGCCGCGGCTGCCGCCCGTGCTGGCTGCCCCCCACTCCCAGTGGCTGGGCCGAGGCCTCTGCTGTGACAGAGCCCAGGGACGGGGGGCAGGGGACCCGCAGCCACATAGCCTCTGGGTCTCTTTGCACTTTAAGAAGTAGCACCTGAGGGCTGTCCCCGGCCGCCCTGGGCCACTTCAGCTGGTGCCTGGCAAAGCAGAACGCCTCTGAACACCCTGCAGCCCCCCCCAACCCCCACGCTTCCTGTGGCTATTGGGGGACCGAGTAGGCCTCTGCTCACTGACTTCTTCCTCTGGGTAAGCTGGATATCTTCCTGTTTCTAGTTCTCATATGGCAGAATAAGGTGCTTGGAAAAACTAAATTATCCCTGCAGGTTTTACCGCCTCTTAACACGAGTCAAAAAACAAACCCAAGGTACATGAATGTTCTCTGTGGTGTTGGCTGATGGGTTTTCCTCTCCTGCTGGCCCTGGGCCTGGTGCTTTGGGGCTGGCTGGGCGAGAAGGCCGTGTCTGAGCTGTGCCGTGTCTGAGCTGTGGCTGAGGTGGGCAGGCCCTGGGCTCTTTGGCCCTCGATGCCCCCTGTTCGTTGCTCAAGCCCCAGGCTGCTCAAGCCCCAGGCGGGTGAGGCAGTTGCTCCATTGAGTGAATCTTGACCATTTTGTGGGTTGTGCTCACCCCTCCTGGGGAGCCCTTCAAGGTATTGCGTGGGGTGGGAACCCACTCGGTGGCCTGGGGCCACTGTCCCTCTTATGAGCTAAACAAAAGTAGCCCTGTCTCTCCCACTGCCCTGTTAGCACTGCCGCAGCTGCCGCCTCGCTGGCCCCTGTGGCCTCAGGTTCCCGCCCCACCTGAGGTGCGTAGACATGGAAATGGTGGGTGATTTTTCTGGTTGTGTTGGACTGGGAGGGGTGCAGGGAAGGGGGGACCATCTGTGCTTAGCACCCTCACCCCTGGGCATGTAGCAGGCAGGACCCGCAGGGGCCCTTGCCCCCCAGTGTCCTGCCTGGGCTCTCCAGGGGCACAGGCAAGAGCTGCTACTCGGGCCCTGAAGGAGCCAGGTCCCGGCCGCTCCATGGCCTGCGCCCACTCTAGCTTCTCTGCCCCTCCCAGCCTGGGGGGAAGCGCTCGGGCGCGGCGCTCTCTGTGGCCCTGTGCCAGTCCCCTGCTCTGGTCCGCAGCGTCCAGTCCGGGCATCCGCATTCAACCAAACGGGCACTCGGTGGGACCCACAGAGAACCTGGGTGCGCAGCTTGTGCGGGGACATGCTGACCTTGAACGCACAGACCCGCCTCGAGTTCATCTAGTTCGCTCAGTCCTGGGAAGTGCTTCCACATGCGATGCTCGCCCGAGCTGCACCCCAGCTCAGAGTAGAGGGAGAGGCAGCATCGGTGAGCCTCAGGGTGGGTCAGTGGTGTGCCCGGAAGCCCTCTCCCCGCTCAGTGTCCTTCTGACATCCAGCGGGAGCGAAACCCCGCATATAGTGCGAGGGGCGCCCCTTGCCTGAGCAGGTGGCTGAGTCGCTGAGCGGCGCCACTGCTGAATCGCCCTGCGAGCTTGGCTCTGGTGCGCGGTGAGTGTCACCCACATTTATACCCTCCCCTTCTCTTGACACGGTGTGGGAAGAGGGGTCTTCCTCTGAGCAGGACTGCCGGCAGGTCTTGTGGATCCTACAGGAGAGTGCCAGAGCGGCCCTGGCAGCAGGCCAGCCTGCCCCCTGCACCCGCCCCTCCATCAGGGGCGGGAGGCCGGGTGGGCATCACGACCCCCAGGCCACAGGTATTCTAACCTCAACCCTGAAACTTGAAAACCAGCGCTGTGGCATTTTGATCTCAGTCCCCCCTCTGTGCCCTCCCTGCTGGCTGGAAGGGGGAGCTGCCCCACGCTGGGGCGCCCGCCAGAACGCACGCGGAGGAAGGTGGGCTCGGAGTTGCTGCTTTTCCCACGGAAGGAAGCTCCAGGGACCTGACTGAGTTGCTGGGAGTCCCCTCGCTCTTGTCCCTCTAAGTGCAATGGGCGTGGCTTGCCGGGGCGCCCACCCCCCACACACACCCCCCACCCCCGCCCCCCACGCCTTGCTGACTCCGCAGATGGTGGACAGAGGCGTCACCTGCGGCCGGTTGCTTGGCAGGTTCAAGCCACTTGATTGTGCTTGGGTGAGAGGATGGACAGTCACATCCCAGTAGCCTGGTAACGGGCCCAGCAGGCCTGCCTGGAAGCCCCGGGCCAGTCCAGGTAGGGCCCTTCTCCCCAGGCCCTGGCCCTTCCCTGGGCGCTGCTCCTCGCCAGCCCAGAGGGAGGGGGTCTTACCTCCCGTGGGAGCCTTCCCCGGGGCCCTGGCTGCGGACTCTGCCAGGCCGGGGTGCTGCAGCCCCAGCCCCGCCGCCCCCTCTGCTCACACAGCAGCGATGTTACACTTTCCATGTAGTCGAGACAGGGCGTAAGTTATTGTTTGCATAAAAAGAATCATGTTCCCTGTGTACATTAAAGAAAAGGAAATGTCTGAATTGTATGGGAATAAAATTGTTTGAAAATTCGGAATAGTGCTGCTGCCAGCTTATTTTTCTGGTACTTGTATTTTCACATGTTAAATGATCTTTATATATGTTGAATTAACAAATATTTTGAGTTTCCTGAGAAAAACAAAAGCATATTAATGGTATTGAAATGTGTTAGTAGTCTGGCCGTGTGCCCAAAATTCTGTTTTGCAGCAAAAGTGGAGAACTGTATGTAAAGAAAGTATAACAATTATTTCTTTGTATTTTAGGGGCTTTAACCAGGACATCCTCTAGTTGGTGTTAGGAATGTTTGCTTCATTTCCAGACTTTCTTTGTAAACAGTCGTGGGTTTGAGGCCCCGGCCTGATTAGTGCATGGCCAGCTCTCAGCCGAGGCTGAGGCGTCTCTGACTGACGTGTTTTTGTTTGGTTTTGTTTTTTAAAATCATGTATTTGCTACAAAGTATTGTACTTGTCTCAATGGGAATGGTGTACAAAACTGAAAAGGCCTTATGTGATATGTATCATAGTTAATAAATCAATCTTGTAAAAAACCAAACCTGAGAGATGAAGCGGCCCCTCCCTGGGCCGCTGCCTCCCGAGCACACCCCCAGTGTCCCCCAGGGGACCTACAGGCAGGAGGTGGGGTCCCTGTCACCAGCACAGAAGGCCCCTCACAACCACCAGGGGGCCCCTGCCTGTGGGGCCTGCTTCCTCTCCTCCAGCAGTGACCTGCCCGCAGGCCACACTGTCCCGCCTGTCTCAGGTCGGCCACAGCGTCTCCCACTGACCCCTGTGGCCACGGGGATGCCGGAGTCGGGGGGTGGGGGCAAAAGACAGACCCTGTGCCCTTCCACCATGGTGGGAGTCAGGACTGGGGTCAGAGAGTGACATGCCAAAGGCCAGAACCCCCGACACCTCTCAGGACTGGACAGAGTGTACCTTTCAGGACAGCCCCTCGGGTGGAGGTTGGTTGGACCCCCACGGAGTCTCCCCCCAAAGTCTTAAAACACTTCTCAGTCACCCAGCCTCCACCCACTCTCCTGCTGCTGCATCTCCCACCCCCTCATCTCCACCCCCCTCCAGACCTAGGCCACCTCCCTATGTCATTGTCACTGGCAGCCCAGAGCACCTGCTCCCACTACCTCCCCCTTTATCTCCCTACCCCCTTCCCCGCCCCCCGTGCTGGCCCTGACTCCAGGTGGCTGTGACCCCTCTTCACAGCCCAGGGTTCCAGGAGAAAGGCCTGCCTCTGCCTCAACCTATGGTAGGAGCGGTGTGTGCCTGCTGCTACCCATCACGCTGCCTGCTCCGGCTCCCTGCTGGGCTGGCCAAGCATTTGACATCCCATAGGGCCTCCCTCTGGACCCAGCCTGCCCTCCCCCTCCCCAGTCACACTCCAGCCTC